TTTTTTTTATTTCAGCATATTATGGGGGTACAGATGTTTAGGTTACGTATGTTGCCCTTGCCCCTCCCCTAAAGTGTTTAGTTTTGATGAAGTCCAGTTTATTTATTTTTCTTTTGTTGCTTGTTCATTAGATGTCATATTTACAAACCCATTGCCTAATCCAAGGTCACTAAGATTTATAGTTATGCTTTCTTTTAGCTTTGATTTAGGTCTTTGATTGCTTTTGAATTAACTTGTGTATGTGATGTGGAAAGGTCCACGTTCTTTTGCATGTGGATTTGCAGTGGTCCCAACACCATTTGTTGAAAAGACTATTCATTCCCCTATTAAAATGTCTTGGCACCCTTGTTGAAAATCAATTGACCATAAATGTATGGGGTTATTTCTGGACTGACGTGGGCATTTCTGTCACCATTTTATAGAGGTTCAGAGAGGTTAAGCTACTTGGCCAAGGTCACAGAGCTAATAAAAAGGGGACACCAGATCCAAACCCAACTCCATAGATTTGTGCAAAGTGCTATGAGAAAACAGATGAGGAATGATTAACTCCCCACCCCAGAAGGCAGGTGTCAGGACTGGTCTTGAAGTCTCCTACAGAAAAAGCATTTGGAAAAATGGCAAAGAATATGTTGTGGTTGGAGTGCCAAGGACAAGGGCAGCAGGAGGCAGAATTTAGCCTTGCCAGGATATTTGGCCTTGATTCTCTGGAACAGGGAGTCACTGAAGGTTTGTAAGCAGGGAAGAGATGGATGGGGGAGGCAGAGGTAGAGGAAACTCAGAGGGGAAAGAGGGTGAGTTCTGGGTAACTTGACTTTGCAGTCTCTTAAGAACCATGAGGTGAAGAGGGTAGGCAGCTTAGCTGGGGAGAGCGGGCTCTGATGGGGCCTAACTGGACGACAGTGGCTGCTGGGTACCAATGCCTGACAGAGGAAGAAGAGCCACCAAGAGAGGCTGAAAACCCATGGGCAAGGAAGCTTAGTTTTGAGAGCGGTAAGGAGGAGGTGGTTAACAGCTGGAAGGTGGCTTAAGAGAATGAGGTTGTAAACAGAGTCTGGGGTTTGGCAAATAAGAGGCCAAGGGTGACCTAAGTGATAGAATTTTCAGGACACAGTGGGGTAGAAGGCAGGTCAGGTGAGACCACCTGTAAGTGGTCACTGAAGGGGTAGAGACAGGGAGGGAGCAAACTCTTCCAAGAAGTCTAGCAGTAAATGGAAGGAGAAGACAGGTGAATGGTGAGAGAGGCGCTACACTGCTGACAGACTCCTGTCTCAGCGTCCTTGAAGGTTGACGGGAGGGGCCCAATGCAGGGAGAGTACTGCACCAGACTCCTATTGTTTCCTAAAATTAAAAAAAAAAATGCTTTAAATAAGAAACCTCCTCTGACCCCTCTGAGCCAAGCTTCAGCCAGGCCCCATGCTGACAGATGTCCAGGTGACCCATTTTGGGTTTGTGTCATCTGCATAAAGATGGTTTGTTCTGACCTGGCTTTTGGCTGGAAAGGTCCCAGCTTCCAGCGGCCCACCAGAGGCTCAGCCACTTTGTCTCGTCTTCCTCAGGCCATCAGAAGGGGCCCTGGGGTCTGGGCTGTCCCAGCATGCAGCAGCCTCCCCCTTTGCCCAGTTAAAAGCTGGCTCAACACACACCTTAAATGCTTGGGGCTTTGTGGTCCAGTCACAGCTCAGAGCTGCTCCTCAGGCAATAGAAATGCAGAATAAGGGGGTCAAAAAAAGGGACTTATTCTGCATTTCTACTCATCAAGGGGGAATGGCTGGGTAAATTATAGTACATTCACAGAAGGCAATGTTTACAGCAATTATATAAGTTAGATCTATATGTATTGATCTGGAGGGATGTTCACAATATTTTAAGTGAAAAAAGCAATTTACTAAGAATTTGTATAGTAGTTACGTATTTTATGTTTCATATTCATATATACAGTATTTTTCAGAAATTTCCTATACGTGTGTATTGTTTGAGTATGTTCATATAAGCATAGAGCAGTGATGCTTCACTGGGGACAATTTTGTCCCCCTTCCCCCTGGGGATATGTGGCAATGGCTGAAGACATTTTTGGTTGTCATGACTGAATGACATAGACATATAATGAACACAGTACAGGCCCCCTCACCCCATCCCACAAAGAATTACCAGCCCAAAATGTCAGTTGTGCTGAAGTAGAGAAACGCTGGCGTAGAGAAAAGAAAAAAAGCATAAACACCAAACTGTTAACTTTTTCTTTACACATCTGTGCTGTTTGACTTATTACAATGTGCATTTATTTTGATAACTAAAAATTATCCTATAAAGTAAAAAGTAATCTTCAATAAAAGTTTATTGTTCTGACAAAGACAATGATGGAGCAGGAGTGGCAGTCTGTTCGCCAAGTCAAACTGTGTCCCAAGGAGACCTGAGTGGGCAGGGGTGTGAGAGCAGAGTGGTGGAAGCTGGAGGCAGCAGGGGATGGGTGGGGGCCTGGTCCTGACCTTGGAGCTCACCCACACAATCTGAATAATCCCAGGGTGCGATTGAGGTTTTCCTGAGCTGGACAAGGGCCTGCAAAAATTTCCTATTATGAGGCAAGCCTACTATGAGAGTGAGAAACAAGCTGAAACTCAATTTCCTTTTTATAACCTGGACTAAACCACCTATGGCCCGGAAGCAGGGAATCATCACAAATCAGAGCTGAGAATCTCACTGGTCTGCTGAGGGGCAGGTTAAGTAGCTTTTCCTCAGGAAAGGGTTGTGTGGTCAATTAAGATGGGAAAACTCTGTCTTAAACCACAGGTAGGCTGGGCGGGGTGGCTCATGCCTATAATCCTAGCACTCTGGGAGGCTGAGGCAGGAGGATTGCTTGAACTCAGGAGTTCAAGACCACCCTGAGCAAGAGCAAAACCCTGTCTCTACTAAAAATAGAAAAAAATTAGCCGGGCAACTAAAAATAGAAACAAAAAATTAGCCAGGCATGGTAGCACATGCCTGTTGTCCCAGCTGCTTGGGAGGCTGAGGCAGTAGGATCACTTGAGACCAGGAGTTTGAGGTTGCTGTGAGCTAGGCTGACACCACGCCACAGCACTGTAGCCCGGGCAATAGAGTGAGACTCTGTCTAAAAACAAACAAACAAACAAAAAACCCAAAAACCAAACAAACAAAAAAAGAAAACCCACAGGTAAATTAAATGATTCTTTGTTGCAGGCCTTATCAGAGCCTTTAATGTGCTAGTGTGCATCTCCAAGCGGATGGTCATTAAATGTGGGACTTCCCTGTCTTAACAACTTTTTCATGAGAGCGTATCTAGAGACTTGGATTCCAGGGAAATACTAACCTAGTCTAATTATAGTTTTACTGATGAGGAAATGGCCAAAAGGAGAAAAAGTGGCTGAACTAGCTGGTGGGGCTAGCTGTTTTAGCTGTGCTATGACCAATACTTTCTCCCCCACCAAACTTCTAACCACAGGTACCAATAAATTATAGATCCTTGGGGAACACGCCTCAGAATTTTTTTCCAATTTAATTTGGAGGGGATGCAGTGGAGATAAGGGAGAAGGGAGTTAACTGTTGGAAGCTATTCAAAGCAAAACCCACCTTTAAGGAGGATCAAGACATTTTTGTCCTCAGAAGACACCATTTTTTTCTTGGTGGAGGAGGCACCCAGGAAGATCAGATATGATCCTATGAAGCAATGCTCCACCAGGTCCTTTTGAAAATATTATAACCTGGGGCTGGGTCATGCCTGTAGTCCCAGCTACTTGGGAAGCTGAGGCTGGAGGATTGCTTTAGCCCAGGAGTTCGACGCTGCAGTGAGCTATGACCACCCTGTAGACAACGTGGTGGTTTAGAAAAAGAAAAAAAATCATAACCTGCATGGGTCAGGTGGGAACACCTGGGACTTCAGTCCTCCCCAATTTACCTCAAATTGACCTCATTGGGCCAGAAGTCCTATAAACTGTTTTTTGTATATTCTGTCCAAGTACTACATTTTCTGAAAATTACTGGATGCTATTATATCGCAGGCCTCTGCAGTGCACTGGGGATTCGATGATGAATAGAGCATAATTTCCCACAACGAAGGGATTTTCCATCTGGTAGGGAAACACAGACACTACATGCAGCTAGAATGCTACAGGACTATACCGACAATGTGAATAAAGTGTTAGGAGCTGATGGAGGGGATACCGTTTCCGAAGGCTCTTGAATGCCCACCTTGCTAAGAAACTTGCAAACCTTAGCCTCTGGGCAATGGAGAGCTATGGAAGACGTTTTCTGTTTTAAACAGGGAACTCTAGTAAACAGGGAGCCACAGTAAGTTTTGTGACTCCATTTCCCATTATTAACTCCCCTTCCTGCTCCTCCTCCTCTAATAATCTCAAGGAGTAGCAACCTCCTCACCCCACATCACCCCACATCACGCACTGGTCCTGGGAGGGGTCCCACATCTGGCCCTTTCTTCCCGTCACCAGCTCTGCTCAGGCCCGGACCCTGTCACCTCCCCTAGTACAAATGTAACAGGAAAGCGATGCTAGGACTGCAGGTTAGGTCCTGTTCAAGTTCTGCCCAATGCAACAAATTCGCAATGGCTCACGCATGCCAGGTGAACCAGCATCGCCATTAACTAACTAGCCTATCAACGAACACAGTGGTCTTTAGGAGCTCAGTCCTAAATTTAAGTCATTTAGGGTTCAGCAGGTCTCTGAACAGACCAGAACTTAATGACTTCCACCAGCAGCCTCCACGTTTGCTAAACAGGACTATCAGGCAAGACACACAGGAACTCCAGTGTGGTTGGGACAGAGTTCCAGGGAGGCGAAATAACTCGCCTACATCACACGCGTTACTAAGAGTAAAGCCTGAACATGCCACAGTTGAGACCCATACCAGGTAAGCCTCCGAGGCCGCGCTGGGCATGCGCACTTCCTCCCCCGCGTCGCGTGAGTGGTCAGGGAGGAAAAGGAAGGCTGAGCTGGAGGAGGAAAGAGGCCCGCCCCCGGAAATCCCGCCTGTTTCTGCAGCCTAGTCCCGGAAGTGTTGCTGTTTGTTGCGGGTGTGATGGCTTCAAGGTTACTTCGCGGAGCTGGAGCGCTGGCGGCGCAGGCCCTGAGGGCCCGCGGTCCCAATGCCTCGGCTGCGATGCGCTCCATGGCGTCTAGAGGTACTCGACTCTCCTGGCGCGCCAGGGACCGGCGCCGTTGCGCTCCTGGGGTAGTCCTGGGGCAGCAAAGCGGGACGGGCCGTGCCGTGCAGCTCCTCGGGGCCCCAGTGACCACCTTACGGCCTGGAGTGCCTCGGGCTCCTTGGGCGTTTCACTGTAATTCCGGGCCACGGCTCGCCGAATTGAGCCCGCTGCGAAAGTATCCTAAATAGAGATGCGGGGGTGACCTTGGAGAGCAGAGGCTGGGATGGGGAGGGGCCCTACGCCTACCCCACGACGGATGGGCTCTGACCTGCTTTTGGAAAAATTGGCCTCTGGTTGGAAGAGGAAAAGCTTCCGCTAGTTGCCACTTTGGGGTATCGTGACTTGGTGGTCCTTAGGGAACCATGGCTATGGGTATCCTTTAGGAGCTTGTAAGCCCATTAAAATTTAGGCAGAAATTTAAATTTGGCATTTCCTGGCTTGATCATTTCCATGTGTATTTTTCTATCTTGATCATTTTAGTCAATATTATAATTTACTTATCTTCCTTTAGGTGGTATTCCTACTGATGAAGAGCAGGCGACTGGGCTGGAGAGGGAGATCATGATGGCTGCACGGAAGGGACTGGTGAGAAACTCCCTTCTGTGCCTTCTGTGGAGCTTGTGGGCTTGGGTGGGATCAGAGTAGTCTCCACTCTGGAAGCATTTGATCCAGGAAACCTGGCTTGCAGAAACAACCCCCGAGCTTCTGGAGGGTAGGGGTCATTTGGCATAATGGCTCAATTCTTGTCTTTTTCAGGACCCATACAATGTGCTACCCCCAAAGGCAGCTTCAGGCACTAAGGAAGACCCTAATTTAGTCCCTTCTATTACCGACAAGCGAATAGTGGGCTGTATCTGTAAGTACCTCACCTTTATTTTCTTATCCATTTGTTTAACGTATCCTACTATACAGGTGTCTATAAGCTGCTTCAAATCTTTCCTGTGTGTGAGTCCATGTTTGTAAGTAAGTCGTTCTAAGGGTCCTGGTTCTCTTAAGCCTCATTGTGCCTGAGTAGGTCATCCTTACTGGAAAGAGAACAAGACTGGCTTACTGGAAGTGCATCATGAAGGAGTATTTGTCCAGAAAATACTTATCGTTGTATTGCTTCTGTGCCGGGCACTGTTTTAGGCACTAGGGATACATGCCAGAGCGGACCCTGCTTTGGGATTCTACATAGGCATGGGAATTGTTATATTATCGAATGACCCAGACATAAGGTCAGTTTACTCACAGGTAAACTCAGGGCCTCAGTTTCATCTGAAAAACGAGGAGGAGAGCTTAAACTGATGTCTTAAGATGTCAGCTATAGTTTGGAAAAGAAATCAATGTTGAAAGTCTCCCTTTCTAGGCTGTATGACCTTCAACCACCTCTTTTTCTTTTAGGTGAAGAGGACAACAGTGCTGTCATCTGGTTCTGGCTGCACAAAGGCGAGACCCAGCGATGCCCTAATTGTGGAACCCATTACAAACTGGTGCCCCACCAGTTGGCACACTGAGCACCTGCACTAATTTACTCAAAATGTGCTGTAAAGTTTCTTCTTTCCATTAAAGACTAGCCATTGTTTGGCTCCTTCTCCCATAGGTGGCTGGTCTCATTTCCTTCCTGTATTTTTGGGTAGGCTTGGAATATTCTTATTTTGGGAATAGCCATCTGTTAATACTAGCTTGCCATGCACTTAAAGTGTACAACCAGTGTACAGTGCTTAAGTTAATAATAAAAATAGGTTGATAACCCATAATGCAATGATTGGGACCACCTGGTACAAGGTAGAAGGATGGGTTGTGGAGTCAGGCTGCTTGGACTTACAATATTGGCTCCGTCATTTGGCTGTGTCACTGTGGGCATGTTCTCTGAGGGTCAGTTACATCTAAGAAAAGATAAATACCTTGTGAGGTATCAGAAGGAATAATATGTAAAGAGCCTTGGCAGATAGTAGGTCCTTACAGTATCACTTTATAGAGACAGGGTGGCCATATGAGAAGAGTTTTTAGGGACTTTGAAGTCTTGAGGGACCCAGGTTCAAATGAGTTCATGGGGATACCAGCAGAAAAATTCAGAATATGGGACAATTCCAGAAACCAATGACCATGTTTCTTTAAATAAATTGCAAGGAATTGGGGGGAAAAAAGGTAGGAAAAACCTATAGAGTAAAACAGATAGGGAGATACAAACAGCAATGTATGGACCTTGTTTGAATCTTTAAAAACATTTATTTTTATTTTTTTTCTTTATGTACATACCATGGAGTACTATGAATCTTGATTTGAAGAAAACAATTGTAAAGGGAAAAAATAATTTGAACTTTTATACAATTAAATAATTGATATTTAGGCATTTATTAAAGTTTTAGGTGTATTTATAGAGTTAGGTGTTCTTACAGAAATACTAGTTGGGAGAAACACCAAAACCCACTTCAGCTACTTTATACTTTTGACACCTTGGGACAAGTTCTCACAAACTTATCTATAAAACGGAAATACCTTTTCATTTTGTGTGGAGATTAGCCAGAGGTGGTTTCAGTTACTATTTCCACAAAATTGGTTCAAACTGGACCTTTTCATGGGAACTGATGATAGAACAGTCAAAGAAAAAAGCCCTTTCTCCTATCTTGGCTGACCCTGTCTAGAAGGTGTAGTCAGAGCTATTGCTTCCATTCCTTGCTGTCATTAGCTCTGTTTCCAGGAAATGCCCAAACATTTATCTGTCCTTCGAGGCCCTTCCCTCTTGGAAGGAGAGTCCCCAGATGGCCATCTATTAAATCTAACCCTGGCATTCTCACCTTAAATGCTGTTCTAGCAAGTTTTCCAATAACTTACCTTTAAGACTGGTCTGGTGCTGCCACTAAGCCCTCCTGTCTGGCTGGCCTGCACTTCCCTTTCCCTTTCCCCTCTCTTCTAATCCAAACTGTTTAGGGGGTGCTTTTGACTCCCCACATCATTGATCCAGTCTTCTTCCTCCCTCATTTCCAAGTCCTTGCTCTTTTTTTTTTAATTTAAATTTTAACCAATTCACTCCTAAAGAAAGAAAAATCTCTAGGATATGTCCAGACAGTGGTAGGCAGACTAATGATCCCCCAAAGATGTCCATGTCCTAATCTCAGAATCTGTGACTATGTTAGGTCACATAGCAAAAAGGAATTAAGACTGCAGATGGAGTTAAGGTTCCTAATCAGTTGGCCTTAAAATAGGGAGATTATGCCAGATTCTCTAGGTGGGTTCCAAAAACACAAGGGAGGCAGAAGAGAGAGATGTGACTATGTTGGAATGGCCAGAGAGATGCAACGTTGCTGGATGGAGGAAGGGGGCCAGGAAACACGGAATGCAAGTAGCCTCTAAAAGCTGGGAAAGGCAAGGAAATGATTCTCCCCTACAGTTTCCAGAAAGGAACGAATTCCTGCTGACACTTAGATTTTAGCCCAGTGAGACCCACATTGAACCTACACAGAACTATATATTTGTGTTCTTTTAAGCCACTAAGTTTGGGATAATTATTTTATGGCAGTAATAGGAAAGTAATACACAGACCAGTGAATTCAACACCCACCTCCTAGGTAAGTGTGTCTCATATTTAGCTGCACATCAGAATCACCTGGGAATCTTCTACAAATCCCAGTGCCCAAGCCACACCCAGACCATTAAAGCAGAGTATCTAGGGGTGGAACCCAGGCCTCAGAACTTTAAACATGAAGGCTGAGAACCTCTGCTTTGGGCTAACCATGTAAACGTGAATAGCTCATTTCCTTGCCTCTTGGTAACTGAGAGCCCTAGAGTCCAAGAGGAAATATAATGTCCCCTACTAGGAGGACCAAACCTTTGCTCCTGAGTTAGAAGTGGGCTCCATCTTAGAAATTGGATCCCATCTCCCCTCACCAAGGAAGAATATAGGCCTCGCTCTAATGGTATTTATTAAACTATCTGCAAGTACGGAATGAAGAACATTTTCCCAGGACTATTTGAGAGGAAGTTGCTGATCTGATGCCCCATCACCTTTATTAAGTGTGTATTTCTTACAAAGACATTCTCTTAAAACCCACAATATGACCATCAAAATCAGGAAGGACGATTTATATATTTCTACCATCTAATCCTCAGATTCTATTCAAGTTTTGCTAAAAGTTCCAATAATGTCTTCTATAGCAAAAGGATCCGGTTCAGAATCATGTGTTGCCTTTGGTTGTCCCGTCTGGAACAGTTCCTCAATATTTCCTTGACTCTCCTGACCTTGACACTTTTGAGAGTTTGTTTCCTTGTGATTGGATTCAGGTTATGCATCTCGGGCAAGTGATGTTATACCCTTCTTGGGAGGCACATGATGCTGACTTGTCCCATTGCTGATGAGGTTTACTTTGGTCACTTGATTAAGCTAATGTCTGCCAAACTTCTCCACTGTGAAGTTGCTCTTTAGCAAGTATCTTATGGGTTAATATTTTGTGATGTCAATACCTGTTTCTCATCAAACTTTCAATTTATTTATTTATATCAGTATAGATTCATGCTTTCTTATGTTATTCAGTGGATTATAATCCATGTCTATCATTATTTTTTGATATTTAATTTGTTCCAAATTCGGCCAGTGGGAACCTCTTCAAGCTCCTGTGACCTTCTGACATGCCCCTATCATTCTTTGAGCACTTCTTTTATTTTCTAGCACAAAACATTCCAGGCTCATCTTCCAGGCTGTTAATAAACCCATGAGGCAGGTGCTATTATTATCACCCCCATGATAGAGATGGGGAAACCTAGGAACAGCTCAGGATTACGTAGCTAGCAATTTGTAGTGGCAGGATTGCGAACCCAGACCATTTAGCTCCAGAGCCTGAGCTCTTTTTCCCCCTCATTTTTTATTTTAAAATAATTTTAGACTTAGAGGAAAGTTACAAAAATAGTACAGAGTTCCTATTTACCTTCCACTCAATTTTCCCTAATGTTAACACCTGCCATTACTGTAGTACAATCATTGAGATCGAGAAAGTAACACTGATGCAGTACTATTAACTAATCAATAGGACTTATCTGGATTTTGCGGGGCAAAGCTCAGTAAGGTCTTTTCCAACCCAGGGTCTCACGTTGTACTTGGTCTTGTCTTCATGACTCGTCACTTTTGAACAAGAGAACTGAGCCATTAATTTGCAGACTGCCTCTATCTGGGTTTGCCTGTTGCTTGCTGCTGGGTAGATTGAGGTGACGCATGAATATCACAAGTGAAACTGGGCCCGCTTAGAGCACCATCAAGAGACAATGACTTACTACTGAAGATGTAAACTTTGACCATTTTGCTAAGGTGGTGTTTACTGGGTTTCTCTACCATAAAGCTATTTTTCCTTCTGTAATCAATAAGCATCTTGTAGGGAGATACTCTGAGAAAATGCAAATATCCTTATTTTTGCTCACTGATTTTTGCATCCATTCTTGCCTGCAACAATTGTCACTGTGGTTGCTTAACGGTGATTTTCTTTTTCCATTATTCCTTTGACATTCATTGGAATTCTACTGTAAGGGAGAGCTGTTCCTTCTCCCCCATGTATATATTTACTCATTTACTTATATCAGTATGAGTCACAGATATTTTATGCTATGGCTTATCATCCACTGCAGATTTGAGCATTGGGCACTCCAAGCTGTTCCTGTGTCCTTGACACAAGCCCCATCTTTTTTTAAGTGCTTCTTTATTTTATGGTACCACAAGATATTCCAGGCTCATCTTGCATTTTCCCTGTCTCAGGGAAAATGTAATGTGCCCCACTAGAAGGACCAAATCTTTGCTCTTGGATAGAAGTCGGCTCCATCTGGACCTATGGCCACTTAGCAGCTTAACTGGATCCTGGTCCCCTCACCAAGGAAGAACATAGTCCTCATTCTAATGGTATTCATTAAACTATCTGCAAGTACAGAATGAACTTTTTACCAGAATGGTATTTAGAAACCAAGATCTGGACATTCTATGTGCTTATTGCTACTCCGATGTCACTGCTTCTAGGCCTTCCCAGCAGACAGAGCTAGGAAATGCGTGTATATATTCTAGCCCTGGCTCTCACATGTACATGCATTTACTTCTGTGTCTATTGGTATGTATATCAAAAGCATGAGTTCACACTACCTCCAACTCTAGTCCAACCCAAGGTTCATTCCAGCCATACTATCTTCCTTCTGCAGCTATCTGCAGCTTCTCTCCAACAGCGAGAATCCCAGCAGAGCCTGAGCTGTCTAACCATGCTATCCCTGCCAGAAGAGGGGGCAGGGAGGATGCCACACTGTGCTTTGCCTTGAAGAATGGGATTTTGATGGACATAAAGGCCATTCCCATGGAGAGAACAGCATGAGCAGAGGCTAGCAGGCAAAGGACACGATGATGGGTAAGCCTACCACAGGGGAGAAGCATCTCAAGGGGCTTTAACCAAATGCAACAATGGGTGGTTTACGAAGGTGATTTTACCAGCATCACATCAGTTTGGTTTCCTTTCCCCAGGCAGTGGAGAACAGAATCGCTTGACATTCTGGAGTAGGAAGTGCCAGAACCAAAGTTATCTGGCCTTTAGGTCCAAGAGCAAATGGATCAGGTGGGCAGGAGAATGGAGCTGTGG